CTACTAATTTAGAGAAATAATGAATTCTATGGTTTATTAGCGTATCTTATTAACTTATATCTTATAATTAACTCTAGAAAAAAATAAAAGAATGAGAAATGTATATCGACGAATGATAACCATAATTAAAATATCTAATGATAAAGTCAGGCAATTTAAAGTGCACACATGTAATTTTGGTTGTGTACCTATAGTTAGAAATGGCCCAAATACTATTGCGTAGAGAGATCTTAAAATATAATAGGTATTTTATTTTTAAAGACAGTATTATTTTGGTAGCGTAGTTCAGAATTGTCCTGTATAGCTCGCGGTTTTAATGCAATATACCCATACCGCGTCAAATGGTAAATGAGTACTAAACCAGTAAACATTGAAGTACTAATCATAATATCCTTTGAAAATGCGATATACCTGAGACCGTGCACATTATTTTAAGGATGCATAGTACGTTCTATGAAAATGTAATAAAATAAATGGTTTCGAAATATAAGATCATTTAACATGCATTTTACATCTTGTTTTCGCCTATCCTTTGACGTACATACTAAGTAGGTACATTTTTTAAATATATGTGACAATTTTTGCATTAGTGTATACGTTTCAGAACATGATTATCTTATGTTATTATAGTAGGTTTATGGAACGTTAGAAAAATATTGTTGCAGAGTTTTTATTTTGAACATTGTATGATACTAAAAATGCTTAATGTCTAACGTTATTATATAAATGCTTTCCTTTGTTAATTGCCAGTCTGATGATATTCCTTGAACTGGGTACTAAAGCGAGCTTTTATTTTGCTTACTAAGTCTAGATGGCGCTACTCTACAGCTTCCATTAGAGATTGGAAGTTTCCTGTAAAAAGTCACGAAAGTAGAAAACCGAGAGTGCTGCTATGTGATCTGTTGATTAGAAACGTGGTGCCTAGGGTTGCCACCTTTTTGAAAAGTATACAAAAAGTCCTCATCCTTTTAGTACTTCTAAAAAAAAGGTCGTCGAGCTGAACGACAGAAGATTACTGAACTTCTAAAAAAAAGATCGTCGAGTTGAACGAAAGAAAACCATGTCATCTGACCAAGCTTCCAAAAATATTTGCTGTCAGTCAAACAAGACATTTATCCTAAAAGAGGACATTTGCGCTATAAAAAGGACATTTTAAGCTTTAAAAAGTCACAAGGACATTTTGCTTCAAAAAAGGACTGTCCTGTTCAAAAAAGGATAGGTGGCAACCCTAGTGGTGCCCAAACAGTCAGGCAAACGTAAACTTTTCTTGAATTTTTAAAATTCGTTATTATCTGCCTCGCTGACTATCCTGGATTACTGAGGAGTCCTAATAAGTACGAAACTCTTCCAAGAATGATATTTTCATTAGGATTTGTTTTATCCAAATAATGTGGTTATACAAACTTATGCTTTTTACAATGAATACTTTTCAGAACATTATTCGCATATAGGTAGCAGCACATTATTGGAATAAAAAGTATGTATACATCAAGCGCATTTTATATTTGTATTTAAACGGAATATACATATTGCGTAAACACGTCATAATAAATAACCACAAAATAAAATATATTGAATGGAGATGCTTTAATGAGTGATTTGGAATGTAATTGTAAAGTATGTTTTTAGCATGTGTATAGAATCTACTTAAGTAAAGATATAGTAATGAATGTCATCACGCGTAGATTTAAAAAGTTATGAAACTAATTTCGTCATATTCCAGTATGGAATCACATGAACAGGTGAAAGAAAACGGATGTTGGCAGACATTGGTGGAAATAATTGGTTTTCATTCAAGTTAACAATGATGGACCGGAATCCGAATATTACGATGAGATAATGCAACGCACAGTTCACTAAACAAACACCATGCAGTAAGCCGTACAAGGCTAGCATTTCATCCATTTCATCCTCATACATAGGGTGTTACCAAACCTCTGCACGAAATTTTACACTAGTGTTAGGGAGATAAAGAGAGAACGGTAACTTAAATACCATTTAACAGAAAATAGTAGTTTGTGCAACAAGAGAGGATATGATGGCCAATCAATTCGAGTTGTACTGTACTCGTATATTTTTTCAACGACCCCCTAACAAAAAAATACAAGATTAAAATATTTAATTTGTATCCAGCTAGCTCATAACGTTGCCAAGCCTTTCGGCGATGTTGCATTAAGGGAACTTACTATACAACGTATTCAGTATGTTGAAGAAAAGAAAAATCTTTTTATATAAAAATATAATAAAATGTCATATATTTATGTAACATAGCATAAAAAATATCTATACAAAAAAAAGTTAAAAGGCTTGATTTAAAAAAGATGAAATATCTCTGTGTCTACAGGAAGAAATCAGGGAACTCATCTATCTTCTAGTATAATATGTACCTAGTCATTGCTGCATTTGTCTATTATTATTCACCGATCTAGCTTTTAGCATCGTACAATTGCCATCTTGATAAAAATCTAGTGAACTATTGATACATAGCTTATATAAATATACTTTTGTACAATCGTTCACCGTTTATGCTTCTAGTGAAGCTTTGCAATATTGATACCTTATTACGATTTAGCTAATTTTGTGCAATCGTTCAGTGCTTTATAGGTAGATTCTACTAGCGCACATGTGTAATCGCGTTTGTGATATACCTACCTCTACTTTTGTGATAGTGGTACTTGATTTCAAGAACATTTTAATAATAAATTTATATATTTGATTTTATTTGAAATTTTCATGTCTCGATTGAGATTTTACTATAACCTCAATTTCTGCCTCTCTGTATTACATTACACAAAGAACAATATAGTGTGTCCACGGATGGACTTAATTATACTTGTAAAAATATTTATTTTAAATTAAAAAAAAAGTTATTTTTCAAAATTTCTCAATGTGAATCGAATTTATTTAATAAGCTAATGAAATTATGACGAATTACTTTTTTAATTTAATACACTGTATAATGCTGTAGAACTAATTCACATTATAACATCTATAGAACGTTTCAGAGCAACTTCGGGGTAAGTACCGTAAAAGTGCTAGCGTGATGTTTTCCGAACTTCACTTTGCCCCTGTGTGATGTGCTATAAAAGTCTTGCGTTGCGGAAATTCGGCGGTTGCAGAGATATTAGGGTAACATTAAAAGTACATTTGCATGCGAGCTTAAAATTGCTGCTTATTAACGTAGATGGGACGTTTTTGTGCTAGCTGGGTACTTAGGTTATTAAGGTAAAATAACCCAGGTAACAATTATACATTCTTTGGTATATACTTTTTAAGAACATGCATATGCTGGGAATATACTTTATTTGCATTTACTGTTTTCTCAGAATATACTAAGTATATGTTACGGGACGTTGTTTATACGTGCTATGCAGATACTGAGAATCTACTTCAAGTATATGCTAAATTTAAATACTTAGCATATAGACATTCTTGATTGTTTCGGCCTCTTCTTGATGAAAATCCATGTTTTTAAAATGAGAAAAACCAAACATTTAAAAAAATAAAAATTACAGACAATTATTTCGAAGTACAACTTCTTCTTCAAATGTAGTTGAAGAAGAAGTTTGGATTTCATAGCCATATAGCGTCCTTACTAGAATAGATATGAAATTATATTCGTTCAGTAGAACGCAACGGCCTATTTTTTGTTCTGTAGTCTGTGCGTACAATAGGTATCCCATTTGGGCGTAAAAAAAAAATTCACGAATATCGGTAAACTTATCAAATAATACAAATGCATTATTCATTCATTTATTTAAAAACAGTGAATATTGAGCATTTCAATTTTTTTATTTTGAATTTTTGAGAAAAATGGTATTTAGATTTTAATTTTTTTTTGACCTTCCCAACAAGCCTATAAAAGATTGGCACGCCACAGTGCACCAATGTTATAACGATGTTATCTACATTCGAGAGTTAAAGTGACGCTAGAAACGTATCTCTCTGACGTAAATGTAGAAATTGACCATACTTTAAACGTGTAATCTGTAAGAAAACAATAGTTAAAACAATAACATTGACGCAAACGTATCTAAAACTTTATAACCTTAGGTAATTTTTGAAAAAAGTATTGTTAGTTATGGAGGAAATTTTTATTCTAATAGATAACAGCGATGATGATGATGTAGTATTACAAATACTACATGAAGAAATTAATTTGAGAAACACGAGTTCTTTTTATATGGAGATTCAATTTCAATGATATTTTGAAACTGAATGCAAGAGTCTCTTTGGATAAAAAAAAAACGATATAATTAGACTTGCTAGAGGCGTTGGAATGATTACAAAAAATGAGCATCAGTGTACATTTTTTCAATGAACTTTCTCTACTTCGTCTCACTTAACATGAATAAAGGGACTGTGGACATAAATTACAACGAATCTAATTTCGTATTATGGCTCGGAATCTGAAAAACAACGTTATAAATCACAATCCATCATTAGTTTTAATAAGTATATCGGGTGAGATCGGATGCTTTCGGCTCGATACGAATGCGCACGTAAAAACACGTATGTTTACCTTAGGCCGGGTCTACACTATGTGTATTCACCTCATGTGTAAAATACGTATGTGTATTACCGGCAAGTATGCTGTGCAGATTTTATGCATACTTATTTTTGTTGATAGTCATTTTGTGCCAAACAGTTGGAGTAGTACTTATGTTTAAAGTAAAATTTGCATCATTCCTATCCGTGAACATTTCTGTATCAACTTGTCCTGCTATACTCGATTTGAATAGGCTTTACACGCTTTGTCCCACAATAGTGTTTGATCGTGTACTAGCTCAATAATCGTCAGTATTATTTGAAAAAAAGTATAGACCTAAATAGATACATGCGAAAAATAGATGTTGTGCATACTTAGCTGTCATTAGATACCTTTCTGGCTTTACGTTAACTCTCTATAATCTCCCAATGTATACTTCTCGTGTTTTTAATTTTTTTGGTAGTTTATTGATGCGGATTGGGTTTTGGGTAAAAAAATAAAACAGCAAAGTACTGATAATAATAAAATATATTTGTCCAGAAATCTACATAAAAAATGTGAACGTTAAAGTGATCCAATGACTGTAATATACTTATAAAATATAATTTACATTTTTAGTAGCAATAGACATAAACAATTAGAAACTTGAGGGTTTAGTATCAAACAATACTAAATTGAAAATAAACCAGACTTTAGTTTAGTGTTCTTTGGTACTAAATCCAGCAGTCCGTAAAATATAAAATAGTGATTAACAGAAGCTGATTTCAAAAACAAAAAGAACTATAGTTAAATTGAAAATGACAAACAAAATATGAATAACTAGTAAGTACTCGTCAAATTCCGTCTCTAAAAAACAAATTTTAGGAAAGAATCAAATAAATAACAATTAAAAATTAAGTGATCAATAAAATATTAAGTATAGATACTGACGATTCATTTTTTTAACATTTATTAAGACATTTCTATCTGTCCCCAAAATAAAAATTTATAATTTTAGCTACTTAATGCCAAAACCACTTAAGTATACCACGTACTAAAAGTTTCTTCAATCTCAATTGTTTAACACCGTAGAAAGCAAAGAAAGTCGTTTGTGCTCTCTATCAGCAGGTATAAATTAACTAGGCGAGTACAGTGAAAACACAAGCACATCTTATACATACAAAAAAAAAAATAAAAAAATAAAAACGGAAGACCTTCTTTTAATACATGAAATACTGGTAGCTTAAATCACATTATCTGAATCAAAAAGCTGGAACACAGGAACACAAATTATTAATCGTCAAATAATTATGTATATTTCATTTTCATTATTTTTTTTTTTAAAGCATTACGTATATTTCACACTCATGATACCGAAATTAATCAACTGTTTAAATAAGTGCCCTGTTGCATTTATTGAACACACATTAAGAGAGATATCTATTGAACGCAGCAAGAGTTCTTGTGTCCATTCTTGGATTTTAGTCTGGATTTCGGACGGTATTTCTCCAGAAATGCTAGTTGCTTCGCATTGATTGCACCTCTCCTTTTCCTGAAACAGACAAATTAAATTAATTGTATACTCTGTGCAATACCCCAAGAGACTGACTCTCTAGTTTTAGTAAACACGATGAAACAAAAATCCTTAAAAGGAGGTATTCTGCAAAAATACTACCTCTAGGTGTTTTATCAACCTTAGAAGTATTGGACACAATTTTGGTTTACTTTGTATATTAAATTAGCAAATGAAAGAAACGTAATTTTCTTATCTAATTTTAATTACAAACGTACACAAGAACTTTTCAATATTCTAGCGATAAAACGTCTGAAAAGAATCATGAAACTATTAAAGTATAAGTATGTAGCCGACACCTAAAGGTCGTAAGTCGATTTTTTCGTAAAACTGCTTTTTGATGATTTAAGTTAAATTGAAGCCTGTTAAAATTCCATATCAGTTGTTATATACTGACTGACAAACAAAGCTAAACACCCTAATGGTTTTTCAGATTTTAATAATGTCTAGGAACTTTGCCACAAACAAGTGATTACATTTTCGGGTTTATCTCTTTAGTTTTCGAGGTGGCGCAAGGTCGTTTAGTGATAAAGAAGCATTCAATTGTCGAAAAGATATGGTCACATTTGATTTGTAATCTATGAATAGCTTTTATCAAAGCCTTTTGTGAATTTATCAAAATGCCTAGAGTGCGTTGAATTCACCAGGTTTCCCACCTTAATGCCTTTGAAAGGGGTTGAATTGTAGGGTTGCGTGAAGCCGGTCTTTCCTTAAGAGAACCTAGAACCTTCCAGAAGAACTGGCATATCTTTACGCTCTTAGAAGATTCAGCAGGACCTGGGCCATCGTAAATCGGTGGTTTCAGGATCATGGTAGGATGGTTGGTATACGCATAGTATATCGCCAAAGAAAAAGTTTCGGTCTTTCATCTTCTCGCCCACACTGGGTGCTACCTCTCACAGTTAAACATCGGTGTGACCGGTGGGCTCTAGTGTAGGGAGATCATTCATTGGGCCAGAAATGATATTAGGTGATCTCTAGTAACGAGTCTCACTTTTGCTTGGGGTGATAAGATGACGTGGTGAAAGACGTGATCCACGTCATATCCACTACACCGTTGGCGTTTTGGTATGGTGTGCTATTGGATATAGTAGCAGATCACTACTATTTTTCATTAGAGGCAACATAACAGCCAGACACTACATTCGGAAAGAAGTCGAACCAAATATGTGATTCCATACTTTTACACCGTCTGAAACGCTACATTTAAACAAGATAATGCCAGACCGCATTTTGCCAGAGAAAATGGATCGATATCATATCAAAAGTTTATCTTTCATCCGCCTATTATTCTACTTCTCTATAACCAATACTATTGTGTTTCTATACCATTCTACATAAATTATAAATTCTAGTAAAAATAAAATTGCAATATGTAGAAGACTTATGTTCCTTTTAAAGTTGTACAGTAAGCTAGGCGTAAAACTAATAAGGTCATGTCAAAAGTGTATATTTTTTGAGAGAATAATAAGGTTTTAAATTGTTGTAGTAAAGTACTATTCTTACAATAATAAATTAAGTTCAATAGTGTGTTCTGAAATAACGTTTTAAACAAAATGTAAGTAGTTATGTATATATTGTTTAGACATAGTGGCAATATTTTAACTGTGGTTAGAATCAGGAATTTCGGAGTCATGGATCCCGGGTTCGAATCTCATAAGGATCCAGATATTTTCTAATTAATATAATTAATTGCAATACCTAGGTAGGATTCTCCACTCGACCAATCACTGTCTGGTTCAAATTAATAGTGTTATCGCAAAAGTCGAGCTGGGAAACAGTAACAAAATCTATACAGAACACGAGGCTAATAACTACTCGTAATTTGACGCTGACGACACCGATATAAACAAATAGAGGAAAATTAAAATTAACCTCCTATAAATAATAGTATAAGAATGCTTTTATATATCTTTAAATAATTGAAGAGCGAGCAGACAAAACCAGATACATCCCTATTATAGTTTGGAGATATTGATAAAATAAAACGTGAATGAAAAGGAATAGGAATCAATAACTAATTCATTTTTGCCAAAAATGTATTTATCTGGTTTTGTCTGATCGATTCTTAATTAAGGACCTCGCTGCAAGAAGAAGGTAGCTCCATTTTTGGTAAAATTTAAGTTAATTCATGTACTAAGGAAAAAATTTAGCTTAATCGATTGGTGCAAGAAACAGGTACAGAGGGGTGCAAGAGGGAAGCATTTTTTCTTTCAAAGATTTATTACCAAGAAAAGTTGTAAGTTACATGTAAATCGCCCTTTGATTATAGCGTTTCATTTTTGTTAAAAAGGCAATTTTTATCAAATGTTTTTTTATTTCTCAAAAATTCAACAAATTAAAACCAGAGCTGCTTCCTTTTTGCAGCAATGTCCTCAATTGCAAAAAGGTGCTGTTTAAGGTTCCTTCAATAAATATATGCTCTCCTTTGGACATTTTATAATATTCCTATTAATTGTTGCTTTTTTTTTTCAGCGAATTTCCGTACAAACATTTAAATCGCCGAAAATTTTCGAGTTATCGGTAGCACGATATCAATGGTCTGAGCTTGTGTTCATTTCACTCTAACAATAAAGACGTTTGACCTTAGAATGTATCTCCCTTGATATTAATGTAAAACTTTGATTTATATTATACTATCTTGGGATGTAGGTTCCAGGATCAAATGGACAAGGCTGCAGATATACTACCCTGAGATATATCTAAGAATTTTTAAACAGGTTTAATTAATTTGAAAATTGAAAAATTATTTAAAATCTGTTTAAAAGTGTCTTAGAAACTGACGTAAGGGTTGATATAGAATTGAGCACGATACGATTATCATTAATGTCGTCGGGAATAGAAGATTTTCCGGACGTGTTTTATTTGGGAAAATCTACTAGAAATAATGGAGAAGCGATAAGAAATACTGGACCAACAAATGGGACAGAAAGTGAAAGAGGAATGATCTTTTTCAAATGGTGAGTCTTTTGATTTAAATTCGATCTTTTTCAGTAAACAAATTATTACAACATATCTATATTTTATGGTTCATCTATTGACATTTCTTGTGCATTGTTTTAGGAGGAATCAGCTGCTTTAAATGGTGAGTCTTTTGATTTAAATTTAGCTGATAATTATTAATCGTTAAGTATATAGGGAGGATCTTTTATGACTGACGGGACGATCACGTTTTATCTTTTTTTTACAAAGCGGCATTATAAAGGTATATAAATATTTTTATTATGCAGAGTATTTAGAAAATAAGAAAGGAAGCCGGTTGTCGGGGCCTGTGGTCAAGTGGAATTTCTGGAAATTATTTTCTAACTTCACCTCTAGACGTAATCGGCGTAATGCTTATGATTAATGAAAAACAGATGAACGAGTGGGTAGTTAAAATTTAATAAAATTTCGCACATATTACGATTTTATTGTTTTAAATAATTTGGTATTTAAAAAAATTGTTTTCATCATTGGCCATCATATGCCGGTTTCTTTCTTATTGGGACACCCGGTATCTTTGCGTACCCTGGAAAAATTACTGGCGGCGCCCATGAATGTGTCATGTTTTTTTCCTTATTTAATCATAAAAAAAGTATTTTCTACTTATTTATGATTTAATATTTGATGGATATGCGATAGATAAATAGAGGAAAGTATAGTAAGGCCTTGTATTTTATGAGGAAAACGTTCTTGAACCAATTAACCAATTTAGCATCACGTGTAAAGGGAAAACAAAGGTCGATATGGTTGTTTTATCACAGGGAACGACCGCCATTATCGCAATTAATCATGTTGATCTAATTTTAAGTGCTATGCAAAGAGGTTTCTTGATAATAATTCGCTTTGCTCGGAAAATTGACACTTCAGTTTATGTCTGGAGGGGGTAGTAGTAATATAGTTAAAGTCCTACTTTATTTTTGATAATACATTCTTTAGGGGGGAAGGGGTAATTACCCCCCCCCCCCCCGTATATTCGCCCCTGAACCACACTTAGCCAAGTTAAAAACGCCGCATATTTAGCCTTTAATCCTAGTTGTTTCTGATATAGAGTGTTTTATTATTTTCCACCAAAACGGTTATAGCTTTTTGTAGAAAAGTTACAATCTAGGTTAATTAAAAAAATATTTTAATTTTGAAAAACTCCAGGATCTTTTTTTTTTTATTATGCTTTCCGCTACAGTATCACTCATCATTTTTTAGATAATATTTATGAACATTTAAATATACCATAGATCAATTAGTAAAATAATGTAATAATATGAAGAACTTTAAAAATAAATTGTATCAATTTCCATCACAAAAAGTACAGCGACTAAGATGGAGACAACGTACCTCTTTTAACTTCTTTTAGATGAACTGTACTACAGAAAGACAATATCGATGATTCTTTTAACAGATGAAACTCAATTCACACATGACTGTAGGCATTATTGGGCAGTTGAAAATCCTAATAGTGACATAAAAACAAATAAATATATGATGTTGATAATTATATCAGAACAGAATTCCTGGAAAGGGTGCCGCTTCACCACAGCCAGCACGTGTGCCTGGTACAGCCGATTGACGAAATTTAGGATGCACTGACAAACAAAGAAACGGTCGTAGGTGCCTTTTAGACGTAGAATACTCATAGTGACACAAAACAAATAAATGTATGGTGGGAATTTATAAAGATTAGTTAATAAGCCCGCCCTCATATTTTTGAAGAAAGATTAAACAGTGCACTTTATTTAAATTTCCTGAGATACATACTGCCAAATTTGTTAGAAGGGATTTAATACCAGAGGTATGCGGTTTCAATACGATGGCGTTGGACCCCATTTTTCTATATTAGTCAGATACCATTTAAATCAACATTTTCCTAAAAGATGAATAAAATCTACTCTAGTAATTGCACCTACATTTCTGTTAATAAGTTTGTTGTCAGATGATTAATTTAGTATTGAATAATACACTAGATCAAAAAGAAAAAATAAGATAGATACCTAATTGCTAAAAGTACAGTTAAATAAGGAATATAATTTTTGATTGCAACATTTATAATTTTAAAGTCGTTCTTTTAAAAAATTTACTATTAGATTGTAACTTTTGTACAAAATTATAACGAACAATCTGTAGCAAAAAAAATTGACAACTAATTTTGGTGGCAAATCGTGGGACACCCTGTTGATAGCTCGGCGATTTCCTAAAAATAGAACGAATATTAATAAAGCTTGAGCGTGGTAATATGAGCAATGTTATTTAAAAACAATGTATGGATTTAATCCCCACCAAACAATCAGCCTAATGTAAAATTTATTTGAATTTGTATTAAAACAGAACTAATAATATTATACTGTGGCCTTCAGCGGTTTGCCTGATTAATCGTTTAAAACATTATTTATACACTATTTATCAGATCCGTTTATTGTGTATTGGTGTATTTTCATTACATTACCACAGAGCAGATATCTGGGGCACCAAACTTCCTTTATGTACAAAATCCAAATAACGAACTTTAATCTGATCAATTTTACTGCACGCTTTTCTTTAATGATTTTTCTTTGGTAAATCTCCAATGAGATTATTAGTTGTCCTTTCTAACATTCGCTATATTAATATCATGAATGAAAATATGATGATAAGTAAAATGTCAAATTGTTAAGCATCTGATAAACAAACATATACAGGATAAATATACATACAGAATAAACATAAAACATAATATAACAAATAACATCATGAACATTTGGTTAAATCTTATGATTTATCAAATTTTTTGGAGGTTACACTGTAACTTAACCCATCCCAGCGTTGCCAACCATATTATAAATATAGTATTTGTACGATAATTACAACTTCATCCACTATAAAATTTCAAAGTAAATATAGTACGGATTTTGTACAATAATTTCATAATTTTTTTTAATATGCAACAAGGGGATTACCAAATAATAAACTGGAAATCCCCTAAGCGAGTGGGACTCTAACAAATTAATTACAAGGACTATTAACAGTAGCTTACTAGCATTTCAATGTGTAAAAGAGAAGAATGGTTCATGTAGGTACATTTGACCCATTAAAACAAATGTATCTATGCTGTAACCAGTTTATATACGGACACGTTGAGAAAAATAAATCCAAAGATTCTAACTTATCTGACGAAAATTATTATTACGTTTTACCGCCAATTTGTTTTTATTTTAATTTTTTATTGAATAGGTACTGTTAAAAATTTTATAAATTCAGAGTTTTCTGTTAAATTTTACTAAATAATATAGAAATTTAACATATTTCTTGTACTATATTTTTCTCCAATGTACTATAATAATTTAGACGCCCGTACTATAATAGCTTCCAATACAGTTGGCAACGTTGCATCCTCCTATTTAATCAGATCTAATAGAAAGTATGTGAAATGAGGGTCGTTTTATCAACAATTTTTTTTTCTCATCAACAGCTTATGTATTAGATTTAAATGAAATTGAGTCAACGCATGACAATAAAAAGATAAATTTAAACTTGACCTAGGAATGTGACATTAGAGTTCTGAAGTAATTGTAACAAATTGTTTTTATAATTTTTTTATCTCTATTATTTATCAAGAGAGGTCAAGGGATAGAGAGGCGCAAAAATGATCAATTGTTTTGTTGCCTTTGTTGCAATATATTTCAGGGTATAAGTGTTTTTATTTAAAATCAACGCATATTGTTGAAATAGCTCCATTGTCAATTATTATTCCATGAATTTCAATTTAGCTAAAATTAAAATTAAATTACATAATATTTTGCAGTAAATAGCTTTGTTCTAAATATTTATGCACGTAACTAACATGTGGTAGATTGACATGTAATTGATTGAACATGTCTGTTACATTATTTGTTTATTAAATTTCTATAAATATATATATTATATTATGATACCTTAATTACATCATTAGATTTTTTTTGAGGTATTGAACAAAATTATTGTATACAAGATATAATGTAATTGCGTGTATTTATATCAGGGAATTTTATCTTCAATCTAGATACTTTCCACATGGGGTATCACTACATTAATTCCTTATTCTAGATTTCTTTAGGACTTCGTTTCTATATTTTCATTTGTGTTCTCTTCGTCTTCTTCATGTGTCTATTGAAAATATCATAAGAATTAGGCCCCCTCTTCTTTAGGCATCTGTGTATGTGTAAGGCCAGAGTCTTTATTGAAAAAATAGTGAAAAAGCATCACTTCCTCTGTATTAAAATCATTGAAGAAGGCTGTTCATAATTATATCAGAACAGAAACTCTGCCAGCATGAGTGCCTGGTACAGCCGATTGAAGAAATTCAGGATGCACTGACAAACAAAGAAACGGTCGTATATGCCTTTTAAGACGTAGAAGGAGCGTTTGACAACACCCCACAGAAATCTGTCAAAAGAGAACTCGCAAAAAGATGAGTAGGTAGCACCACATCCAGATGGATGGCTCAGCTGCAATCTTCGAGAATTGCAGAGAAATCTTCGAGAATTGCAGAGACACAGATAGGACATGATACCATCTCCATCTGATCAGAGGACGTTCACAAAGGGAAGCTCCATCCCCATTAATGTGGAGTCTAACTGTAGACTAATTACTATGCAGAATGACTGATCTCGGCATACCCTTCCAAGGTTGTGAAACGACATAGTTATGTTTGCTAGAGATAAATTCGAAAATGTGCTGTGTGATATAGTCCAAAGAGGACTAGAATACACCAAAAGATGGTGCCGCGAGTTGAGACGTATACATCCCACCAAAATAACACTGGTAGCCTTTTCATGAAAAAGAAAACTCAATCTCAAAATCGTTAAATTAGACGGGATACATGTAGAATGGAACGAACAAGTCAAATAGCTAGGTCTAATCCTGGACAATAAACTTATCTGGAACATACATGAGAAGGAAGTAGTAAATAAGGCCACAAAATTCCTAATGGTATGCAAGAACATTGCGGGTAAAAGATGGGGATATAACCCGAATACACTGCAATGTATGTATACAACAACAGTAAGACCAATCATCACTTACGGGGCTGTAGCCTGGAATAACAGAACTAGTTTAGCTACTCAAAAGTACAAAGACTAGCCTGTGTTTGCATAACCGATACAATGAGAACCTGTCCTACGGCCGCAATGGAGCTTAAACCTCGCCCCTCTACAGGGGAACGTGATAGAGAACGTGGCAAAAACGACAAAATATAGGATTATCAGGAAAGCAGTAATCAGACGAAAGTCTATTAGCTACAGGACAGAAGATACATGGGATATGTCATAGGACGCAAATGAGAAAGAAATACAGTTATTTGAAAAACTTCAGAACCACAGAGCTGGGCCGCAAGAAAGAACGGAGCCAAGAATCGATCGTGCTGGCAACCGAAAGCCATGCAGTTCAGTGGTATACGGATGGTTTCACAACCCTAGAACGAACTGGAATAGGTGTGTATGGGTCGAGAAACAGGCATTCTAGAAGTTGGGTAAATACCCAAGAATCTTCCAGGCGGAATTTCACGCCATTGAGAAGTGTGTATTCACTTCAACAACGATAATTGGAATAATCTGATGGTATTAAGACAGCCTAAGACTCTTCTAGGTAAATATAACCAGAAAAGCGTGGAAACTTGTATCTGCCTTGGCAAAAACATACAGGGCATTGTAACATGGATCCTTACCGGGCATTGTCGACTCAAAGGACACTGAGTGTAGCAGAAGATAGTGCAGATTCTGCGAAGAGCACGACGAAACCTTCTGACTGAATGTGTATCACTGCACAATCTAAAGGCACTTAGAAGCATACCAAATAGAAGAGTTTTTGCGATATTTGTATTGGGTAATATTTCATTGTTAACTTCAATCTTAAGCTGATCATTATAATTAATTCCAACTTTTTTTTGCCAAACATCATAACATGAGATTTAGGATTTATATATAAACAATAGTCATTACATAATTTAAAAAGTAAATATAAGTCCAAATTTACTTTCAGATGCTTTCTTCAAATTTGCAAGCAGGAAATGAAAGGTAAATCTGAGTATCATGTACGTATTGGTGAAAATTAAAATACTGCAGTATTCTTGGGAATAAAGATGTATAGATACAAAATAAAAGAGGACCTATAATAGTGGGGGGACCCCATTTTTTATTTCCAATGAAGAAGATAATTTATCATTATATTTGACACACTGTATTCTATTATTAAGATAGTTATTTATAAGGCGTTATAAATTTTCATTAAATCTAGTTGATTTTGGTAAGTGGCTCTCATCATACTGTCAATGACCGAGAGTATTGCAATGTTGCAATGGTGATTAGTGCGGAAACCAGATTGATCAATAGGAATATTATAACGTTCTAGGAAAGTTGATAAATACATTTTTCCATAACTTTAAAAGCTGTACAAAGAATACTAATAGGCCTGCTATCTTTAAATTCATTTGGATTTTTTAATTTGGCAAATGGAATTAATTGCGCATCTTGAGATACTGATAAAACTGTTAATTATTTAATGATGCGAGTTAAATATTTTATTATAAACGGACAACAGTAAAGTATCACGTCATCAGCACCAATAGCTTTAGATTTTATTGACAGTAATATTTTATATATTTCATTCTCACTAACTTCACTGAAATGGATGAAGACATCATTTTTCATTGGGAAATTCGCTGACTCAGTAAAGGTCAAATGTTAAAACGGTTTTATGAAAGGGTACAAAACGCACGAGCCCGCTGCATCATTTCGTTTCACAAAAATTTAATTTGAGACGTTCTTTAACTGTTAATTAAAATTATTATGATACTTACTCTCTAATTAGTTCCACTGCCTCCTCGTACTTAAGTCCTAGCTCGATGAGGGCCAAAGCCACCATGACGGGCGCCCTTCCTAGGCCGGCGATGCAGTGCACGGCTACGCAGCAGTCGGGATTGTCATTGAACTGTTTTTTCAGTACTTTGAACCATTCCTCGACTATTTTGTTTGGCGGGAAAGTGCCGTCGTCGTAGCTCAGGTCGAAGACTTCGATATTGTGGTTGTTCAGCTCTTCCACTTTATAGGATGGTTCGCAAACCCTGACTACGGCCGTTACCCGGTGTTTTTTCAGCTCCTGTAACAAAAGCGTCGGCTCGATTAGTTCGTCTTTAAGGCCCAATGGTGATGAAAAAAAAAAAAAACTATTTACAGATCTTCTACTGGATAGATTTCAGTGAAACTTTTGCAGTAAAATGTTTAATGATTGCAATGAGACAATTTCATTTGTCCTCCTAATTGTTAAATACTATTAATAAATATAAAAGTGATAGTCACAGATGCACGAAAAAACGTACAAAAAAGAGAATTATAGTCACTATATTAATGGGCATATAAAGAACCACAAGAAAATTTAGTAGTGTTTAAAAAGTAAAAGTGTTATAATGTTTAATTTTAAGCCGTTTTACCTGAAACTTATTAGAATGATATGATAATTTGGTGTGATGTTTTGTTCACAATTTTTACTCAAAATATATGACTGCTTTCTAGCTAAAATTTCTGGACTGTAAAATACTGTATTTTTATTTATATCTACATATACAGAGTGTCACCTAAATATACTGGCAAACTTTTAGGGTGGTAGGATATATTAAAATAAACAATTTTTGTTCTAAAAATGTATGTCAAAGATAAATGTTTCAAATAAAAATTTTAATCGATTTCAATGAAATTTTTAAAGTTTGTTGATATCTTAATGAATTATGTTTTGGACCATTTAGAAGTTTTTTTTACATTTCTGCTGGAAAAGAATATTTTAAAATTTTTATGTTTTTGATAAAACATGAAATACAACTTTTTTTTTGTATATCGCCTTTCGTTTTGAATTGTATTTTTAGTTGCTTCAGAGACGTGCATGCAAAAGTTTAGATATTATTTGTTTTCTCGAAAACGAAAAAAGATTCGCAAAAATATAGGGAGACAACAAAGTTGTATTTTTAGTTTCTTTATTCAAAACAAGTATCAGCATTGTAAAAATCTACTGGACGCTATAACTTTTGGTTAAAATTCCCTGTATTTCGGACATGTGTTTATTAAACAAAAAATATTTATTTTGTTGCCCCCTACCACCGTTTGGTTTAGTTTATTTATGTTTAAACTTAAATTTTAAATTATTAAGATATGAAGCCGTGCATAGGGATCGTACTTCCAGATATTTTTTTATCTCCCTTTGCATCAACCTACCCTTATCTCAAAATTCTCAATGATACCCTTCATATGTTATAAAGGACTATGAAAGAGCACACTTTTTTAAGTACATCCATATTAAAAAAGTAACAAATTACAAAGAATACTTTTTAGAATATTTTAATTTAAAATTTTGAAAAAATATTTTATTTGGTATGAAAAATCAATGTGCCTATATATGAAAAGAATGTGGAATTTCTTGCCTCGATGCACTGCCTCACCCCCAAAAATTCAAGATTCCAACTTAAATTTAACCAGAAATAAAGCCATCCTAAATTTTCAGACTCAAATCAAAGTTCCGAACACAAATCAAAAATAAACATAACTAAAGTATATGCTTATTTATTTCAACCATTATTTGGAAACTGGAGTAAATATATCTACCTATTTATAATAGATTATGCCAGGTCAGTGCCACTAACAGATTCTTACGATATGTATTTATCTTAAATAGGTACCTGCGACCCTAATTAGACAGCTAAATATTTATTTCCCCATAAACGAGAAAAACCTTGGAAGCAACATCTCAAAAAACTCGCATACAAAGCTACAATAGCTCTCGTAAGCTGTAGAAGAGTAAGCAGCAAAAAAATTACCACATGGTTATATACACTCTTGATAACCTATGTGGCAGGGGAAAACAAAACTGCACAGGTAAGTGCAATAGGCCAACTCACCGACATTCAGAGGCCGCTGCACATCTTTATACAAGGGGAAACCAGCTCCACTATTCACAGGCTAATGTAGGGACAAAACCCAAACATAGCGCTGACCATACAGGGCTATACCAGCAAATAAAAAAGGATACGATTCAAGGAATGCCCAATGATACACCTATAACTAGATACAAATTTCAGCCCAAGAATCCTGGAAACCAGGACTTTCCATACAAGATGAACGATTTCGCTGAGTCTAGAAGAATACGCAACAGTGTTCCAGGTTGAACTAATAGCCATAGAACACTGCAAGAAAAATAATAAATCGGCAAGTATCAGGCAAAACTATTGCCATCCACTCAGCCAAGTAGATCTAAAGGCAATTATCTCACCAGAAATCAAATCAAGACTGGTGAAAGACCTGACAAAGCTAAGTAGTCAAAACAAAATGACCTTAGCCTGGGTACCAAGCCATGAATTATATCGGGGCAATCAAAACACAGACGAACTAGCCCGAGAAGGCTCAGATACGGCCATGACAGACCTCGAACCCTTCTGTGGAGTTGTTAAGGCATTATGCAAGCCATTCACCAAACAATGGATGCAAATAGTCTCAGGAATGGTGGAACAACTATCCAGGATCGAGACGTTAATCCACGTCCTGTGCCATATTGAGGTTTTTAACACAATTTAGGCGAAGAAAAGCCAGATGCATGCAACTACATGGGGAAGACACTGTCATGGTACCACTTCTAATAAAAAAATACCAAGCTAGACAACATACTCTAAATAACGGAGTCCCAAAATAGATCTGAAAAAGTGGACAAGGACAACTCCTTTTAAATCTAAATCGAATTAAAATACTGAATTGTAAATCTAACATAAAAATACAATAATGTATTCATATGCTTTTTTGTTTAATTATTCCCATATTTAAACTGTATTTTTTATCAAAATATCTACAGTACTAGCTCACATCTAGGGACCACCAATTGATATTTCAATTTGGTCACGTTGGATCCGAGTATTGTTGAAGACACATTTTTCTTAAAAATGAATTGGATTAATACTCAGGGGGACAGCCTTTAATCATTTCGAAAATCCAAGAAAATGCCTATAGTTGCAATCTTTATTTCTGGCGCCTGGAATTATTGATAGCCGGCCCAGTTTAGCATGAGGCTGATACTGAAGGTGGGTTTAGTCGGCCTGTTTTAATTTTAAGCATTAATATATGCATTAACATAAGCATAAACGTATTGAAGATAAATAAAATCCAACTTAATGCTTAAATTTATGTTGAAAATACAATTGTGCATGTGCGTTTAAAAAGTGAGGTTAAGGTATTGTCATAATTCTAAATTTTTTCTTTCTATATTTTTATATTATTAATAATTGCGAGATAGCAGAGCAATTTCAAAAGCACCTACCAAATGTCTTTTTCCCATTTTTAATGATTTGTCAAATCTTATGTTTATGTTTAAATTATCTGTATAAACGGTTTTGTTTTAAAATCCTTAAATTTATGTTCATGTTAATGTCTATGTTAATGCTTAAAACAAAATCAGGCTGACTAAACGCACCTTAAGATTGGAAAGGTAACGAATTTATAGGTTGGTGCTGTAATGGACCAGCTTATCAATGTCCCTTAATATCGAAGCAAACCTAAGCCCCCAGACAGGGAATAGTGGTTGTCTGATACTTCTACACGTGGAGTGTTTTATTAATTAGATTGCCCTTTGGTAGGTCAAACGCTGTTGGGCGTATTACATTTATTGATAAGATATTTATGATACAATTTCCTTTATTTCATCGTAAAAGTGTTTTTTTTTTATAAAGGCGCGTTTTTATTCCAAACAACGTTTATATGGGTGTAATAAAAGTTTCTAGTAACAGATGATTTATTTAACAGTCAGCAAATCGATGATTATTCTTATCATTCAATTTAGCTCTATCTAATCGCCTCATTGCCGCCTAAATTGGGCATATCAATTAAAGCTCGAGGTCATCGGAGGTCATCTGGGCTATGCCCTCTGAGGTATAAATTCGATAGATTAGAATTTAACGTCCAGGTTGTTCGATTAATTTAGTTTCTGATAACGCGGTACTAGTGCTAAAATTTATTTATACCTTATACCAAAGTCTGTCTGTACAAATCGTTAGTCGTGACTTTATAAACAAGAAGCAATCTGATCTGATCGATATTAAATGTGAATTTGAAGGAAAGGTACTAAAGATAATTAAAAATTAAATTGATAAACTTTTAGGGACAAATAGCTAGAATTTAAAGATTTATTTGAGCGTTATGGGAAAAATCAATTCAAAATAGACGTTTTATACGAGTAGATACAGAAGGGTTATTTCTTTTCGGTTTTACAACAAAGGTCTTCAAACAACTAATTATTGGATAAATAAATATTCCACTCACTTGTTTTTGTATCGATTTCTATTATTAAATATTTATTTTGGGAATTTTAATTATAGGAAATTTACATTCGTCTGTGTGTCCAATCTTAAGCATCCCGTCACGGGATTCCCGTGTATAAAACGTATATAATTTTTTTTATAGTCAATATTTGGGTTATTAAAAGGAACCGTTATTGATTTACATCATACTTTTATTATGGCTCGATCGTTAATGATTTAAGTATATTACCTACATAAAATTTATCAGTTCATGAGATTGATCATCTGGCACAACCAGAACTAAAAAAGCTATCTGAAATATTTTATATAAATTAAAATTTGCATTTTGCACTAGTTTTTTTTTTCAGTAATAAAAGAATATCAAATAATAATAAAGGAAATAGAGAACACCCTGTATGATGTTCATATCCATATTATGTGAAAGCATAAATGCATTCATGTGCAAATTTTAAACCCATGACATTTAATTCACCTCTAGCTAGTACTAGAAAATCACATTTGTTAATTACGAGGGTTGCACCCAAACTTTGAAGGTGAAGTCAAGTCTGTCACAGTCACATACCTACAGACTGCAAAAGACCATCCACAAGCAATCTGTATGAGTATGGACTACAGTGAGATATATAAAGGCTCATATTTTCAGAAGTGAGTAACCTAATTATTGTCATTAATATTAAATGAGTTAGAGCTCATGGACAATTTTTGCTTGAAAATTAATGTTGACAATTTTGGTGAGACCTACAGAAAGGTTCATACTAGTAAAGATATAAATCTGATATAGATAATCACATAGAAGGTGCTTTTGATAAAA